CGCTCTGCACCCCGCGCAGGAAGCGGGAGCGGTGCGGGGCGGACGCGCCCTGACCGCAGCGCAGGGCTGGGAAATGTTCTATTGCACCAAACCTCCGGGGAAACGGCAGCAGGGCTTGAGAGGGCTCTCAGCACCACACTGACACTCTGCAGCAGCAGCAGGGACGCTGGAAAGTTCTTAATTAATCGGATTATTATCAAGGATTTGGGGAAAACCCAGTCCCTGTGAGCGCGGGCAGTGTCGGTGTGGCTGGGACAGTGGAAGTGCAGGTCACTCACGGTGACAGCAGCGTGGTGCAAGTCACAGCAAAGGCGAGGGATGACAAAGTGAGGCCACGCGGCCTCCAGGCAGCATCACAGCATCCACTCCTTATCCACAGAGGGTGGCAGAGTCCTGGAAATGTCTTAGAGAGCTCTGAGGCCGTGACCAAAGCACTGAGAGCATGGTGAGGCTGACCCTGAGCAAATCAGCATTAGCAGTCAGAGTACCTTACAAAATGGATGAGGGAAAGTTGCTGCAAACAAACTCAGGGCACAGAAAATTTGTTCTTGTGGCTTTTCCCTGCTGTTGGGATGAGCAGGACAATGCTTTCATCAGGATAGGGATGCACAGCTGGGGAATCATTTAAAGTTACACGGAGAGGGACAGTAAGAGTTACAATTATTCTCCCTGCTGTGGAAGGATGTTGGTTGACCTGCCACAGCAGCTCTCCCTGCTCTGGGGTGAGGTTTTGTTTCACCATCGGGGTTTATGCAAACACTCCTGGCAGCCTGCAGGAGCGTGCTGGAGGGAGCAGGAGCAGGCATCACCTGGTGCAGAGATAACCTGCACTTAGAGAAGGCAAACAGGGTTTGGGAATAACTGGGTGAAAATACAACAAAACTAACAGATGTACCCAATTCTCAACTGCCTGTCTGCAAACTTCATACAGAAATGAGAGGCAAAGTCACATCTGCTCCATTATTTTAAAATAGACCAGAATGGATGCATTAGCAATATGATAAATATCTTCAGAGTAAATTCTTCCCTTGCTGTATCCCTCCATGGGTCACCTCTCCTTTATATTCTGTTTCCTCATTTCTCTCATGTTGTCCTTGAAGGAAATGCTCCTCGTGTGTGAACACAGCTGGCTTTAGTGGGGCTGTGAGGAGGCAGGGTTTGCCTTTGAGTTCTTCCCTCACACAGGAAAGGAAAACTGGCTCCTCAGAGACATTGTGGATGCTGTTGGCAGTAGTAACTTGTTTCTGGCCATGGTACATGGTTTTAATTATGCTTTTTTACTTGTCTGCCTTATGAAAGCCTATCCAAATGCTCTATTTTTTTTTTTTTAGAAACACCACATAGATAAATGAACATCAGCTGTCCTGAGTACAAAAAATTTGCTAAAAAATCCAGTGTTTTGGTGTCTTTTGGCAATACCTCATGATGCCTGCTGCCCAGCGAGACTTTGGTGAGCACAGGGGAGCTGTTTTCCCTTCTCTTTGTTTGGTCTGGCTTATTTAACTGCTGGTCATTCATCCTTACTTAGTTTTGCCCTCCCTGGCTTTTTGTGACCATTAGAATTGGGATAATTACTGTGAGGTTTTTTTCCTTGCTTTTTAAACATTTATAACATCCACTTAGGAAAAAAAATATGGTCAAATGTGTTTTGTTCTAATCTTCCGCTGCCACAATAAAGATTAATCTACTTCTAGCACTCGGAGGGCAGGAGGCAAAGCTGCAATGTTGGTTTGGGATTTGCCATTCCTGTCAGCCAGCCCATCTTGCTTGTTGTCCAGTGGGATTTCACTTTTGGGGCAGTTTTGGTTTTTAGGGTTTTTGCTAATGGGCATAAACAGGAGGAGAGGAGAGGCTCAGGACAGGCTGGCAGGGGGTGGGCTTGTCACAGTTTTGGCTGCTGCCTCTGGTGCAGCACTCTGGGTATCTCTGGTAAATCAGCCAAGGTTTTACACCCAGGTTCACCATGCTGGAGCACAGCCTCCTTTCTTGGCCTGGACTGCAGCAGGGATGGAAATGTAAAACAGAATTGCTGCCCCTCTTTGCCATTTCTAAACTGATTGACAAAGTTCAGGCACAGAACAGGTCTCTGAAGAGCCATCTCTTCTGCCTTTCACCAGGACGTGAAGGGAAGGTTTTAAGTCTTGGAGGGCTGTTGCTTTCCTGTAAGAGGGGATTACACCAAATTTAGCAAAGCTGAAGCTCTCATTTTACTTATTATTTCAGGAGAACTTGCAAAGCCTATCCAGAAAGCTCATTACCCCTCTGTAGGTTTATATTACAGCAGACTTCACTTCCCAAGAGGAGACAAAGCCTGTGCTTCCAAAAATCCCTAGCCTTGCATTTTTGCAGTCAGAGCATCAGTGGCTCAGATGATATTTTGGATAAAATCTGAAATGATGCCTGGAAGGGTCAGACTGGCACGTGGAGCCCCTAAAAGAACAAAAATTTCCACACCTGCCCATGTCCTGCTCTCTCAATGGTGCCCATGCAGGCAGGCATGCAAGAGCTCCAGGTACCTGAAAACCAAGACCATGGTGTGCTGATAATTTTGCCTGCTTTGTTTCACTTGCATCCTTTGTTAACAAAGAGCAGTCTAGAGGGAAATAGTCTATTATTAATATTTAATTTCCTCCTATTACTGTAAGCAGATGACCTAAAAGATCATTTAGGCAGCAGCCAATAATAAAGCAAAGAGAGGAATCAGAAAATGTATGTCTTGGTTAGGTGGGTGATGCCTCCTTCCTCCTCTTTCCTGCCCCACCCAGCCACAGCTCCTCATCCTCCCATCCATGGGAGGCAGGGCTGGGGATGCTCCCCACAGCTCTGTGAGCACTCAGGGACCTGGGAAGCTGCTCTGTGTGAAGCACTCATAAAATACTGAACTACAGAAAGGAAACCCCTGGGCAGCACAGAGAAGTGCTCCTGTTGCCTTCCCTGTGTGCTCCCCAAAGGACACCTGTTTTCAGCATGTTTTACAGAAAGGAAACCCTTGAGCAGCACAGAGAAATTCTCCTGCTCCTTCCATATCATGCTCCCCAAAGGACACCTGTTTTCAGCATGTTTTACAACCCCGGTTGTTTTGCAAATTTGTGTTCTGCCTGTGAGCACATTGGCTGGTTTATTGACTTGATCCTCTGAAGTGGTGGGGAGAGACAAGATTTCTCGGAGTCTTTGATTTAAAAGATAGGGAGATTCTCTTTGAGCCGAAGGGATTTCAAAGAGAGGATAAAAACTGACAAGCATCTCCCCCTCCAGGCTTTGGAAAGTAGGAAACAAATGATTTAGCAGCACCGATTTTTCTGCTTAGGGCCATGTGTGAATCCAAGGATTCCCCCTAGGGGAGTTAGGTAATCTGCATGTGGCTGGGACCTGGGAAGGGTCATGTAGAAGGAGATGCAAGATTTGATCTGTGGAATGAGCAACCCCCTGGCCCCCTTGAGCTGCCTGCTGATCTCCTGCCCCATCCCAGAGCAGGCACAGAGCCCTTTGGGGCCAGGGGAGGCTGCACTCTGTCACTGCGTGCCCACCGAGTGTCCTGGTGCCCCCAGGGCTGCTGAGCATCTGCAGCTTTGCTGATGGGTGAGGCGCCCCAGGCTCTGAGGTGGCATCTGCTCTGCAGCACTGACAGAGCCTGGGCTGCCCAAACCCCCAGAGCAGCGCAGGAGCTGCTCTGAGCTGGGTGTTTGAGCCAAGCACCGGCCAAGGGCTCAGCTCAGCGTTTTGGCACTCAGAGCAGGGGCAGCACCTTGGTCCAAAGTCAACTGGAGATGCCAAACTAAAGCTTGCCTGGGCTCTGCTGGTGAATTGCTTCATGGGAACGGGCTGTGCAGATGCTTTATTGAATTTTCAAGGAGGAGTTTCGCATTGGGACTGAAATATGAGGGAGAACAGAGTGTTCCAAGTCACTACAAACGAACAGAGCGGCAGGTTTACAGGTTTGTGAATGACAAAAAAAGGTTTATTTAATAATGGGGGAAAGGCCGGAACATAGCCCGGGGTATCAAGAAGGAATTAACAAAATAAAACAAGGGCTGATGAAGAAATACTAATTGTAGCTGTCCAGCCTGTTGAGTGATACAGGTTATTTTTCTTAAGTTTCAAGAAGCTTGCCATGCTGATCCCTCAAGGGCTTGAGATGTTAAATATACACTTCCCCAGTGAGTAAAGCAGATTGTTAATTAATTTTTTCTTATTAGACCTGATTGCTGAGCCTTTGGGTCTTGCATGAAGTAGACAATTCTACAATAAATTTAATTTTGCCTCTGGACCTACGTCATGATCTCTGGGTGGTCTCTATTTAATTTTGTCCCTGTGCAGTGCATTTCTAGCTGTATAAGCAGAAAGCCTGAGCCTGTTTTTGTTGTAAAGCAAGTTGCACACACTCCTGAAATGGAGATTTGCTGTGCCAGGTGAGCAGTACAGCAGGGGCACTGTGAGAGAGGAATGAGCAGGGGTGAGCTCAGCTTGAACGTGAACCCTCCTGCACATTCTGTCAGCAGCAGGTGAGGCTGGGCTGGTGTGGTCAGTAATTGGCTTTCCTAATGTCAGGGGCTGCTCAGCAGCACTGAAGCAGAGACAAAATGTTGTTTTGTGGTGGCTGGGACACCTGCTCAGCTGCAGCCGTGTCTCCCCTGAGATGTGCTGGCTCTGCAGAACTCCGAGTGTTTTCTGGCCCATCTGGGAGCAGAGGGTGGAAGGACATGCTGTCCTTTTCTGGACATAACATTCCAATTGCTTCAGAGTAAATGGCTGGGGCTTGGGATGAGGAATCAGGCCACTCACTGTTTGTGTAGAGAGATGGAAGCAAGACACAAACAAACTCAGGGATAAAAATTCAAATTCAACACGAGGCCACGAAAGAGTCAAAGTGGAAGGTTAAAAGCTCTGTTGTGCCAGAGGACAGTGTGTGATGCAGCCACTGAACTGCAGGTTCCTGTTCCTTTTCATGTCCAGGCAGAGGTGTAGGGAATTTCAGCTCTGTGCTGAGCCATTGGTATGTGCAGGAGCTCCACAGTGACGTTTGCAACTTTCCTCCATGTCCTGCTGGAGTCTGAGATGAGCCAGAGTCAGGATAAACAAAAATGCATCTAGGATTAGTATGGATTCGTTGTCCTACTGAAGGGAGCTCTCAGTGGGGAAGAATGTGCAGTAATTTTGCTTTGATCCTCTTCACTGAGGTGTTTGAGCTGTGAACTCGATGGGCAAGAGCAGCAGCAGGGCTGTAAATGAAGGTGCCCCGTTCCCAGGGCTTCCCTCAGTTCTGACTCTGTCTCAGAGCTTGTGGAGGAATCACAGTGGCTCTAGCAGCGGTTTGGGCCCAGAGTAATTTGTTAAATGTTTCTGATCTTGGGCTGGCACTGAGTTTGCGGTGCCCTTGTCCTGCATGGCTGTGGGAGGTGTGTGCTCCCACTCTGTCCTGCTGAGGGCCCAGGGGCTCACACCCACCTCAGTCTCAGTCTCAGCCGTGTCCTGCACGCCCCTTCCTCTGAGGAGCCTGTTTTGCCCACTGCTTCCTTTGTTAGCTTGTTTTTTTCCTCCTACCAGCTTTTTCCTGTCTTTTTTTCCTCCCTTCTTGCTCACACAGATGCACAAAGCCTTGTTTATTTCTCATCCTGCCCCTTCTGTTCTCTCTGCCTCCAGATCTTCTTTATTTCTGTCTTATATTCATTCTAATCCTCTTCCCCAGAAGCTGGGCTGGAGGGTGAGGTTTCAGTGCTGCTGCTTTGGAACAAACCTGTTGGGATTTGTAATGGACAGGCAGATCCTTGCAGGGGCATATCACTGACATCCCTGAAATCCTAGAAAGTAAAAGCCATCCTTAGGAAGCCACTGAAAAACCAAAGGTTTTGCTGTAGGAGCACAGACAATATAGAGACTTCTTGGGGTTTTTCTTCTTTAAAAAATATTAAGTGGATGATCTTTATCTTCCTCTTAATAGCTTGATCACACACTGATCTCTTCTGTTGATCTCTTCAACTAAAACCAAACAAAACACAGAAACAAGATAGCTGAAGGTAGAGAGAAGCAAAGGGTTTGAAGCATGTCCAAACCACCAAGAATCATTCACTTTCCTTTCAAATGCAGCATTAGCAATAGAGCTCTAAATCAATGAAAGGTCTAAAATTAGATTATATTCCTGAGATCAGATGTGAATCACAAGTTAATCATATTTTCTTTTATTATCACTGTCTTTACCCTTTTATTTTATCCTGAGAAATTAGGTTTCTGACTTGAAAACAGAGTGAACTGTGAAGGCATCAAACCCTGATGGGTGAGACCACGCCAGATCACCTTTGGATGGGGCTCAAAAATCTTGTGTTTTGGAGCTCTGTGATTTATCAGTTAGTGCTGTGATTCTCTCTCTCCTAACCCTCTGATGTATCAAGCTGTTTCTTAAATTAATGAGAAAATATTATTGCTAAAGCTTGCTAAATAAGGTTTGCAACCCACTCTGGAAGTGACAGGCGAGGACAGCAAGCAATTATCTCTTGACTGTGGCACAAAGCTCAGGGAATTGTGTTCTCCCTTGTGCATTTTTAGCTGAAGCTGTGGTGAAATGCTCCCATATCTGAGCAGAGGTACGAGGTGACCTGCAAGGCCGTGCAGGTGATGTGTGTTCCGTATGAAATGCAGCTGCAGGGCTGTTTCCTCACAAGGCCAGAGCTGTGTGCAGGAGCTGCAGGAGCTGGAGCGCAGCCCTGGGCATGGCCCTGTGCCTGGGTGTGTATTTTGGGAGAGGTGAGTTTGGGTGGGCCTGGTTCTGGCTGGCTGCAGGAGAAGGATGATGCTGTCCTGGATGCCGCCAACACTATGGACAGTGCAGGTGTCACGAACAAATGGTTTGCTTATAGGAGAGAGATTTACATGAACAAAAATAACGGAGTTGCAGGAGGGGAGCCTGCAGAGAGCCTTGCAAAGAGTGAGCATGGTCAGCAGGAGTGCCCTAAAGATGTCCCTGTCTGAGCACCTTGGACACTTCTCCCTGCCCTGGATCTTGCACCACAGATCCATGGAGGCCACAGAGGGCTGACCACACACGTGCCAGCAGCGTCCTGGGGCTGAGGGCTGCTGTCCCTGCAGGGCAGGGCTCTGGTGCAGCAGCTGTGTGGGCAGCGCGTGATGGCTCCAGCGCGGTGTCTGCCCTCAGAGGGAGACAGGTGTGTGGGAAAGGCTCCTGCACCTTTCCTCTGTGCAGCCTCAGCACTTGCCAGCACATAATTAGCGGGGCTCTCGTGTTTCAGGGCGGGCTGTGGAGCAGCTGCTGAAGTGCCAGCTCAGTTGGTAGCCTCGAAAACAAAATGTCCCTTGTTTCCCATCACCACTGTGAAACGCTGCCTTCCTGAACTTGGGTTTGGCCCTGCAGCTTTCAGGATAGACAAAATGTGAGAATTTTGCCAATAATGTATTCTTCTAGGTCTGTGTAATATCCGTTATCAATTTAATGTGCCACTTTAATGAGATTTTGCTTTCTCCATCTCCTCCGTAGAGCTGATTACTTAGTCTATGTGGTCGGTGTTTTCTTTTCTTTTTAGAGGAAACTGCAAGTGAAGAAGTTTAATGTTTGCTTCAGCTGAAGAGAGTATTTCCCAAGTCCTGGTGGGAAAAGGTGAAAAAGAGGACCAGAGGATGTTGCTATGGCATGGGGATGACAGGAAGCCATGACTAGAAGGAGGATTGTCAACAGGAAACAAAGCACGGCAACCAATGTGGCTCTGCTGTACAGCACAGCTGCTGTGCTGCGCTGCCTGCTGGACCCTGAGGCCTGGCCAGCACTGGCTGTCCCCAAGAGAGATTCTCCTGTCCGTTTGTCTGCTGGAGCCTGAATTGTTCTGCACCTGGTTAATCCACTGTGCTGCAGCCGGCAGACCCTGGGCTTCTTTTCTTGACACCATCCACTGTAAAGTCCTTGGGCAGCCATGGGGAGCAAGACGTGTGTGTGAGCAGCTTTCCTGGGCTGGCTGAGCCCTGCAGGGAGCCCAGGCAGCTTGAGGGGTGCTGGCTGTTCAGGGCTCTGCAGATATGAACGCTGAGCTCTGGGGCTGGTTGTTCTCACCATGCTAGTACATGGGAAGGACGACTTCCTCTCAGACATAGCCTACATCATCCTGGAGCTGATCATCGCTGTGCTGGCCATCCTGGGCAACATCCTCGTCTGCTGGGCCGTCTATCTCAACAGCAACTTGCAGAACGTCACCAACTACTTTGTGGTGTCCCTGGCTGCTGCTGACATTGCTGTGGGGGTGCTGGCAATCCCCTTTGCCATCACCATCAGCACTGGCTTCTGTGCCTTCTTCTATGGCTGCCTTTTCATTGCCTGCTTTGTCCTGGTCTTGACCCAGAGCTCCATCTTCAGCCTCTTGGCCATCGCCATCGACAGGATCATTGCCATCCGAATTCCCCTCAGGTGAGCAGGGGCTGGGCTGGGGTGGTGGGGGCTCAGCATCCCTAAAAACACAGGTCTGGAGATGAATCAAGGAGGGAGAAGATAAATGAGGATCGGTTCTTTTTCTCCTGTATTTTGAAAGCAGCTTTTCCAGGTCCTAAAGTCTGCCTTGGCTGGTGGATTTTCTGCTTGTTTCCTTTTCCTGTTCTCCTGTGGTGGGTGTCCATGGCATCTCAGAGGTGCTGCCTGGGAGCTGCCACTCCATACCCAGGCAAGCTGTGCCCTGAGCTGCAGGCAGTGGGGGGCAGAAAGGGGGTGAGGCTCCTGTGGGGAGCAGGGGGTGCTGCCTGAAGCTGGGGCAGCAGGGCTGGGGCAGGGAGCTGGGGTTGCTCTCAGGGGTCTGGTTGATGTGAAGGGAGAGGAAGCAGCAGGCTACCAAGGAATGGGCCTCAGGAAGGTTTGGAGTGGCTCAGGCACTGCCTCTGGAAGCACAGCACAGGCTGGGTCAAGGTGGAGGCTTGTCCCAGCCCAACCTGCAGGTGGGGATTTGTGATCTCTGCAGTTGAAAGAAAGGAAAGGACATTTTAATGACTGAGACTGGCTGCTATTTGGTGAGTGACCAAGCAGGCTGGCATGGGACAGGGGCAGGTTTGTCACACACACAGGGGCTCATTCAGTTTGGCAGGAGCACATTGCTGCGATGGGCTCTGTGTGCCCGTGGGCGCGAGGCAGCCCCACAGTGCTGTGACGGCTCTGAGGCACTCACCGAGCTCCAGAGATGGAGAGGAAGCTCTGGAGAGGCTGCAGAAGGACTGTAGGAGTCTCCTTCCTTCCTGTCTTGTCCTTGGGAGGATGCAGCACGCTCTCAGGAAAGGAGAGACCGCCCTCGTCTCCTGAACAACCAACGTGGCTGCAAAAATGGAACCAGTTTCTGGTTTTTATGCTCTTGAGTTTGAGTTTTTGGACATCCTCACTCTTCTTGAGTTTAAATCACTTTTGCTGATCTGTACAATTTAGTTCTGTCTCTTCTGAATACTTTGGTCATGCAGCACTTATGTCAATTAACACAAACCTCCTGTTCCAAACCAGAATGGGAGCCCTGGAGAGCGGAAATTGCCTTTCCATGTGGAAGGACCAGGGCAGCCAAGTCCTTCCTGAAGCCTCACCTCAGCAACTTTGTGCTGCTCCAGCATTGACTCCAAACCCTATTGGTCATACCTGTCGCAGCCTCTAGTTTTGATGTAGGTGTAAGGAACAACTGTTCCATTCCATTGCAGAGAAAATGCTGTTGATAATGGTTACCTATAAACTGGACTGTCTACACTTTTCTACAGTTCTGCTATAGATTATTTCAGTTTATAAACCAAAATAATGATAAATGGTACACGGAAATATGTTGAGTAGCCCCTGGGAGCTGCCTCTGGAATGGTTTGAGAAGGGCTGATGTCTTGATTTCATCTCTCACAAGGTAACTCTGAGGATGCCTGCTGACAGTTTAAGCTCTCTTATTGCTAGAGCATGACTTGCCAGGAAAGGGATTTTTAAAATCTGGATTTCTGCCCACATTTTGGGCTATCACTGTAACTATATTGTCTTGAAAATGTAATTTCCTGGAACAGCCAAGGTAAAGAGTCTTTTCAAAAAAACCCAGAGTACATCACTGCTGGGCAGACACCGGTTTCACTATCTTGTTTTGGAAAAAACAGAGCACACCCTCTTCCTCCCCAGGAACAGAGGGACTGATTGGATGCAGAAACCCACAGGTAAATCCATGGGTTCCTCTCCTGTCTGTCCTCTGCTGTTTGTCCTTTCACAGCAGGAGTGATGTTCTTGTCAGTTGTGTTTTGCCTTTAGAATTTATGGATGAATAAGCGTTTATAGCCTCAGACATGGTGAGAAAGTGAAAGCTGATTATCTGAAGAGGGAAATGTGGTATAATTTAGATTGCCCACATCCTCATGTTTTTTCTTTTTTCTAATAGCTGTTTGTCTCAAAAAGGGGTCAAACAATTTGATGGAAAGTTCTGCCACTAACAGGGTGTTGTTTTCACCTCATCCTTTAATACCTGGGAAGGTCCCTTCTCCTCCTCACAGGACATGAAAGGTACCAGCAGGTATTATAATGAATAATTATTCATTAGCTGAATAATTAATAGACCAGACTTCCTTCACTCCAGGGAAACCAAAAAGGGCCAAACCTGTGCTTTATTTTTCTGTTTCTCTTTAAATATTTCATGTCTGATCTGTCCTAATGAAGATAACTCCATATGTGGATGTGTATTCCTGCAGAAATAAACTGTCAGTATTAAGAAGGCAGAAGAGTGGGTTTTCTGATACTGCTTGGTTTTGGACCCCTCAGTATATTATTAGTTACCTTTGAAATAATTTTTTTTATGGAGAAGACATGCTCCTCCAAAAACCTGCAATGAAAAAAATATTTATAGGTGAAATTTTAAAACCGATAAAAACTAATTTGTGAATATCTTATGTGTTCTGCCTTTCAAACAATGGAAATACTTTGTAGAATTTGGTCCATTTTCCACAAGTTCTCAAGCACTTTGCTGAATTCTGCCAGGTTTTATACAAATGTACCACTCTGCAAGGGGCAGCAAGGCACTGCCAGGGAAGGGAGCCCGAGCCATTGTTCACTCTAGGACAAAGCGAGGTCTCTCCCAGGGCAGGTACCTGAAAACCTGCACTAATATCCAACCCCCAGGTGCTCTGCACAAACCTGGCTGTGATGGAGCCCTGGGCCAGGAGCAGTTGCTGCTCTCCAGGCTGCGCGGTGCCAGCGTGGGCAGTGCCCAGCCGTGTGATCCTGGGCAGGGATCTGTGGAAGCACATTCATTCCCAGGAAGGACAGGTACCTCCAGCTCACAGCACTCAGAGGGGAGATTTTCCTTCCTGCAGCCAAACAGAGAAGTTTGCTGAGGTTGCTGCTTGCTCTCTGTGCTGGATTCAGGCATGAAACACGTGGGTCACACAGTGCCACTGCAGCCTTTGCCTCTGGTGAAAGCTGCTTCTGCTGCTGCCAGGCTTCTCTGGGGAAACATTAGCAAGGTGCAGCTCCCTGATGTTTGGAGCTTTGGCACTGGTTTATCCCACGTGGTGGTGGTTTAAACTGCAGCTCTCAGGTGGCATGGGGATGTTTTTCTGCCACAGGACATGAAGAATCAAGGAAGGAAAAGCTAAATGAGGATCAGTGCTCTGGCTTCCCAAAATCTAGGAAACATAGGAGAGATGAAATCTAGGAAACATAGGAGAGATGAACACCAACCCTGAATAAAGTGTAGGACGTGCAAGGGACCTTTCTGCTGGGAACAGTCTGTTTCAGTAGTTGCTTTAATTCCCTAGATTTCCTTTCTGAAATGCTCCTAAGTGAGCATCTAAACCAGTGAATCAGGGTTTTAATGTTTTATTGCCACTTTGAGCCATATGTGGATTAATTTCTTTCCCTGCTTACCATAAACCTTTTGACTTTATGGCAGGCATTTCCTACATATGTTCATCTGTTAAATAGATTTAGGGCAGGTTCAGCCTAATGTGAGAACAGAGTAATCCTCCTCCTTCTCTTGAATGGGCACAGCTTTGAGGGCAGTGCCCTCATGGCCTGCACAGAACTTGCTGTTACCAAGGTTTTGCTCAGGAAGCTGATCACATCACAAGCAGAACGTGTCTGCCCATCATTCCTGCTCCTGCTGATTAAAGAGATCCTGCTGGGCACCTGTGCCACCTGGGGGAACCCACCTGCCCCTCTCCATAGCAGTGGATAAACACCAGGATCTGTTGGTACCTGGCAATAGAGGATGAAGGTTCCAGATGAGTGGTTTGGGAAAGGTTGTTTAATGGTACATGTGAAGGTCTCAGTTTGATTTCTTGCCCTGTCCCAGATTTCCTGGATGATCTGGGATTGCCAGGGTCTCTCATTTCCACCTACATGTAATAGGGACTGAATCTCCTGCTTGGTCCCGTCCCTGATGCTGCAGCTGCCTGAGGTGTGGCTGGTGGGTGCTTGGTGAGCAGTGTTTTGTAGTGATTTGTTAAACACCTTTGAGCAGTGCTGAATTCAGAACAAAGCCCTCAGCTGGGCATTGGGGTGATGCAGTGTGTGAAAAATGCTCCACACCTGCCAGAGGATGTGCAGTGCTGTCCACAAAGGAGGGCTTGGAAGACAAGCAGCAGGATGGCTGGACACTGTGAGGGTGAGTTAGGCCAGCTACACATCACTCAATGTAGTGAAAGAGTTTAATTTCTCCCTGAGGACACTCTGGGCAGACTACCAGCTCTGCCTTCCACCCAGTCTCAGAGAATTCTTTGTCTTCATGGCACAGAACTCAGTCCAAGGGCCCAGAAGTGGCACATCCGCAGCTGGATTACTCCAGGCAGCCCAGAGGAGCTGTACATTCACCAAGGGCACCTGTTCTCCTGCTCCACTTTGCCAGCTGGGTATTTGGGAGAGCAGCAGAGCAGGTTGAAACTATTTTGAAGAAAACTTTCACATTTTCATGTGTTTGCAAAAGTTGGGTTTGCTTTTTAGAGGAGACGCGACTCTATCCCCACCATGAGCATCCCTGTGCTCACGTCCTTAGTGTCTGCAATTTCACAAGCAGAAGTGGTTGGTTGTGTAGCAAGTGTGTTATTTGCAGGAAGCAGAAGTGCTGCTGCACAGACAATCCAGTGCAGCCTGGACACATCAGACATGCTGCAAGGTCACCTGCCAGCTCTGCAGAGCAGGGGCTGCAGGAGTGAGCAGGCTGTGTCTCCTGCGTGGTGCCAGCAGCCCCCGGGGCAGGGGATGTGTCTGGGGAGCCCTGAAGTCACCCTGTGGAATGGAATGGAATGGAATGGAATGGAATGGAATGGAATGGAATGGAATGGAATGGCTCTGGCCTGGCTGCTGTGAGCCTGGAAAGATACTGAGACAAAGCACACAAAGATGTACACAAAGTCTTCAGTGACATCTCCAAGTGGATGAGAGGAAAGAGTCCAGGAAAGCCCATCTGGACTGTAACGCTACCTCAGCCAAGTCAGTCAGAGGTGCCTCGTGTGGATCCCAGAGATGAAGCTCTCCTAAACAAATCCACACTTCTCAGTGGGTACCTGGCCAGCACAAGGCCGTTGGCTTTGTCACCAGATGCTGTGAGCTTTCTGTCCTGACCCTGGCAGATGTTGAGCGAGGTGCTATGGCCATGCAGGGCAGTGCTCTGCAGCTGGGCAGCTGCTGGGGCTCCTGCTGCTCTGAAGCCTTGCACAGCTCCTTGCATGGGAATCCCCAGGGGACAGCAGGGAGGGGGAAATGCGGCGGGGTGTTTGTCTGGAGCAGCGGTGAATGTATTTTTAGTGGAAGGAAGGGACATCTCTAGTCGTGGGATAACAGCTGCACAGTTTCAAAATTCCTCTGACAAGATGTAGCTAATTCCAGGGTTGCAGGGTTTTGGTGGTTGTGGGATGTTTTTGGGATTTTTTTTTTGTTTTGTTGTTGTTGTTGGGTTGTTTTGTCTTTTTTTTGTTTGTTTTTGTTTGTTTTCTTTTGTTTGTTTTGTTTTGTTGTTTTTTCAAGCTTCAAGGGCCCCCAGCCACCCTCTTGCTCCCTGAGTGTACATTTCAAAGCACAGATGCTGTTTTGATGTGTTGATGAGGTCTGAATGGAGCAGCTCTCTGCTACCATTCATGCTGCGCCCTTTGCATCCTTTAAGCACTGGGCAGGATCCGCTAATTGCTGGAAAAAACCTTTTTCTTCCTCAGAATCAGCTGAATCCCTTCCTCATTTCTGGAAGGGCAATTTAGGTGTGTTTTGTGTGCTGGGAATTGTGTGCTTGGCTCCCTTATCCACTTACTCTTTTCTGGTTTTGAAATGCAACTGAGAAAGGGAAATTGAAGCCTGATGGGTCTTGTTTTTTTCCAAGGCCCATGGTCAGGGATTTAAAGCATGTGCAGGATCTCCATTCTGTACTGTGCAAAAGCAGCCACTCTTCTCCCCTGTCTTGAACTTGTGCTGGGATAGGAGCACGAACCTGTGGGAGCAATTATTTCACTGGAAGATGGAAAGATTTCTGTGGTTTGCTGTATTATTTCTTGTAATGTTTGTTTTTGGAGAGAATTCTGGGGACAGAGGCAGAAGGGTAAACACTGGGAGCTACTGTTGGGTCAAACACAGTGTGGGACCCACGCTGCCATGTGGGAACCCAGCCATCTACTTTCCATGCTGAGCATTACCCAGGGAAGGAAATTGCACTGAAATGTTAAACTGCTGCCCTAATTTACATTTTCAGAGGGGAAAACTGGTGGAGTCAGCTCAGGATTCGCAGTAACCTGTGAGGCCCTGGAAACTGGCTGATAACAAACAAACCAAGGTCTCTGCTGCACTGTCAGATCCTTACCACGTTGCTTATTATTTCTTTTAACAGATTTTGGAAAGTTTACTGTTAAGAGCAGTGGCTTCAGCCAGGCATCAATACCTCCACCACTGAGGTCCCTTTGGTGTGTGCAGGGCAGGCCATGGCACACCTGTAGTCAGAGAATTGTCCCCAGCTTAATTCCTCTTTTCTGAGAAAGACATGGGGTCGACTTAGCTGGGCTGGTGAGGAAAACTCTGACTTGCCTCAGTTATGTCAAGGAGGTTGGTGGTGCTGCTTTTCCTGAAAGTGGCACTGAGGAGCAGAGTGAGGTGCCATGCAGGCAATGCCAGCCTGGCTGCTGCAGCTGAGCCAGCAGGATTTCCTTGGAGCACACCAGAAAGTGGATGCAGGGCTGGTGGCACTGTGCCTCCAGGCTCTTTTGTGCTGTTTGGTTTGCAGATCTACTGCAAGACAGACCTAACAATTCCATGCTAAAAGGCTGCTCCTTTGCCAGGAAGGAGATGCTGGCTTAGCCTTTGGCAAGAGACCCACAGTGGTCTTCATCTCTTCATCACGAGGATCAGAGCAGTGCTCTTGGTTACCCAGGCTGCAAGATCGATGTGCACACCCAAGTGGACTGGTGCAGTGAAGGAGAGCACAGATGAAATCTGAATTATTTCCCTGCTTTTCTGTCAACTATTCACTGCTTAAAGGAAAGGGGAGGGAAGTAGGTGGCAGACAGTGTCAGCATGTCCTTGGTGTGCTGCTTGGGTTCTGCACATCAGTGCAAAGGCCCCTCTGATGAAGCAGGTGCCTTTCTCACTGTCTTCTGGGCCACGGGGCCACTGTGAGGTTGTGTGGGTGCCAGCAGCTTGTTGGGTGACACTGACACAGCTCCCATCTCCTCTGCTTTACAGGTACAATGGCTTGGTGACCGGCTCTCGAGCCAAAGGCGTCATTGCCATCTGCTGGGTGTTGTCCTTCATCATCGGCCTGACCCCAATGCTGGGCTGGCACAACGGAGCCCAGATCCAAGAGCCCCATTCCAACTGGTCCTCTCCCATCAACTGCAGCAACAGCATGGTGGCGTGTCTCTTCGAGGCCGTGGTCACCATGGAGTACATGGTCTACTACAACTTCTTTGCCTGTGTGCTTCTGCCCCTCCTTCTCATGTTTGGTATCTACTTGAAAATCTTCATGGCAGCGCGGCGCCAGCTCAAGCAGATGGAGAACAAGATGGTACACGGGGAACGTTCCCGCTCCACGCTGCAGAAGGAGGTCCATGCAGCCAAGTCCTTGGCCATCATCGTCGGGCTGTTTGCAGTCTGCTGGCTCCCGCTGCACATCATTAACTGCTTCACCCTTTTCTGCCCGGACTGTGCCCATGCTCCCCTGTGGCTGATGTACCTGGCCATTATCCTGTCTCACGCTAACTCGGTGGTGAACCCCCTCATTTATGCCTACCGCATCAGGGAGTTCCGCCACACCTTCCGCAAGATCATCAGCCAGCACATCCTGGGCCGCAAGGAGCCGTTCAAGGCGGGAGCCGCCAGCTCCAGGACTTCCACCCACGGCGGGGACGCGGAGAACGCCAGCATCCGGATCGGTGAGTATGCGCTGGAGCTGTATGGCAACGGAGAGATCCACAGGGACCCCGAGAAGCAGGACTTGAACAAATGCAAAGCTGCCTTGGAATGGCACCAGAATGGAAACGCTCTGGACTTGGAGACAAACGGACATCTCCCGCATTCCTGTAAAAATGGGATTCTTTCAGACGCATGCCTGAACAGGGAGCTTCACAGTGAAGAGCTAATTGATGCCCAGGTGTCTTACTCAGACCTGGAAAGAGCAGCCTTTACTGCAGCTGATGTTTCCTGATGAGACTTTCGAAGTTTTCCTGGTAGAATTATTTTTTTTCCATTGGTGACCTCTGCCATGGCAGAAAGGGAGGCTGGGGGGCGGGGGGAGAGCAGTGCATTCAGATCACTGTGGAGAAAGGGGTCCATATCCAGGACTGTTGGATGATCCTAAATACCAGGCTGGAGAAGAGCCAAGAGACCACTGAAGTGGACTAAGGAAGGAGGACACGTTACCCATCAGTGACCTGTCACCAAGGGCAGTGCCAAGATCCAGGATGGCATTCCAAGTTGAGCACTGGGAGACTGCTGATGCAGGGATTTTGGGACATTTTGCTGTACTGTGCCTCTGGTTGAGAGCTGGTTTCACTGTCTTTACCAATGGAATGGCTGGAAGTATTCCCTGAATAACAAAGAGCAACTGGGAAGGAAGGGCCTCTGAGTTCTGTGGCCCTGCAACAAGCAGAAGGGGGATAGCAAAATCTGTTGTCAGGAAGGATGCCAGGAACTGCTTGAGAGGGAAGGAATTTACCTGATTGGAACTGTGGATACTTTCAACCATGGCACTTTGTCTTTCAGTTTGTGTTCTTGAAGCTTTTACTGCAACAGGTTGCTCAAATGGGTTTTTTCCACGTGATGATAAGGTTGCTTTATGTTAACTTATAAAAGATGGGCAAGAGCTCATGTCTGTTCGCTGAGTGCTCAGTGTTCCAGGTGCACATGACAAATATAACCTCTTAGCACTCCCCTTTGTCCAACAAATCACCAAAGCTGAGCCTTGCCAAGGATTTCCCTTGGCAAAAGGGCTGTGGTGCTGTGGGCTGTGTCCTCAGGGCAGGGCTGTCAAGGGCTCTGGGTGTGGGAGCTCTTTGCAGAGCTCTGCCCCTGCCTCTGTGCTTCTCCTCCTGAGCTCCTAGGATGCAAATTCTTTCCATGGCCCCCGATGTGTGTGAGGGGAGGTAATATTCCATATTTCAGTCATCTTCATCCTCACTCAACAGGCTGAGGGACTTTTTTTTTACTTCTTTCTTGGGATAGAGAGCAACCCACACACATACCCTGACTTAATTTTGGAATTCCAATGAGCTCTATTTAAAAAACCTTTTCTCCTGTATTTCAGTTTTTTCCTGAGAAGCCTGATGTGTCCCTGTGGTGCAGAGGCCAACAGAGGAAGCTCTGGGCTCTGTCTGGTTAGAAGATGCTCCTGCTCTGAGAAGCTGAAAGGTGTCAGTGGTATTGGAACTCAGCTTAGAAACTGCAGTTTCTACTTTCTGTAGAAGAGAACAGGCAAATTTGTGCTGCAGCAAGTGTACACTTTTGCTGTGGTTTGTTGCAGAGGTGTTTCACTGCAGTTTGGTAATTTTCTGGAAGGAAAATTAAGGAAGTCTGGCAGCTCAAGAACAGCAGAAAACCACATCAGCTTGAATTCTACCTGAAGATTGTCTGGGTTGAGTTTTTCAGACAAATAATCCATGTCCAGTACTACCAGCCTTCTGGAGAGACAGGCAGTAGTCCCAGGTCCTGCTGGGAAGTGAAAAGTCTGGTAATTCCAGGAATCTGAAGCTCATTGCTAGCTGAAATCATCAGAAATATCCTCCCTCAATCTGGTTCCTCCTCGTGTCTCTCCACGAACATTTCAGAAGCCAAGGGGGATTTTCATACTTGAGGAAGAGCAGGTTAGGTCTGTGTGTTCTTATTCCATGTTTATTTTATATATTGTGAACTATTAAAACGAAAAATCAGATTTATTTTGAGGAGAATTTTCTTTTTGCCAGTTTCCCCACACGCATGTGGGGAGAAGCTTGTGATGCTGAATGTGTTTGAGCATGTAGCTGCTGTGGGCTACACAAAGCTTGCTGTGAGATGGATAAAATGATGTGGCTGCCACCACAGTGCTTAGCAGAAAGACAGGCCAGTTGTAGAACAATAGACTTGGTGGTTTAATTGAACTGCTGCTTTCTTGGCAGGGCTCTTGCCCGTGGTCTGATGTCAGAGGAGAGCATTATCCCTGAAGGAGCTCTGAGCCATCCCCTGTCACTGATGTCACGGGCAGCTCCTGCGTAGGGGGACTCGGGATCTCGTCACTCCTGATCCTTCTGGATGGAATATTTCTGTGGGTTATTTGTGTGATGCCTTCTCTGACCTCCTGTAACAGCAGCAGAGAACTCAGGAAAATGGGGGGCTGTTCTGTTCAGGCCTCAGCTGGAGCTGAAATGTTTCTAAGAATAACGCAAGATTACATCCGGCACTCATGTCAATAACAATTAGGTCCACAAAGAGCCAGAGCAGGGGAGGAAGTGTGGGAAAATACCAGCGTTGCTCATGGGCTGGAGCACACACGAGTGCAGAAGCGTTGCCTGCTGAGTTTAGCTGCCATTGGCAAAGGGATGGTTTGCACAGTTGGTGTGGATTGCTTGTGTGATTTCTATATTTCCTGAGCATCTCCACACCTACTTGTGGCTGTTTCTTGCTTGGTTGCCCCAAGAATCCAGTTGATCTATGTTGATGGACAAGCTTAGGATTGTTCTGCTTTCCAGATTGCTCTGGAAAACTTTCCTGCCCAACTAGATCACCACCTGAGCTTAGTGACTTTCCACATGTCTTGAATTTAACTTTGGTGGTGCTGCTTGAGCTGCCCCCAGGAGTGTCCGGTCCCTTTCAGTATCAGTGATCAAACTTGAAGTGAGAAGGGTGTGTGAAGGGCAGGGCAGGGAATGGGCAGGGTGCTTTGTGGGGCTGTCTGCAGTCACAGGAAGGAAGGGATGGCAGCTGCACCGCACGCTGGGCCCTCTGGCAAGCACATGGCTGAGATGGACCCTCAGAGGATGTTTCTGAAGCAGTTGTTGGGGAGGGCAGGAGCCTTTTGAACAGAGTTTTGGACTTCATATTTCTTGTTTGCTAGGGATCATAATTTCAGGGCTTCCTGCTTTTTGGTTTGTTTTCCATTAAAAAAAAAAAAAAAAAGAATAGGTCCCACCAATGAAGTGTGCTCTTTCCTTCTCTGGCAGCTCTCCACTCCTGAGAGAAGTACCTGCTTTCCAAACTTCCTAGGACCACTCAAATCTCCATTTTTGTTCCAGCTGGAGAATGTTTAGCTGATCCAGCTGTTCTGGATAAACAAAGATGGTGCCCAGACAAAGGGAAGAATGAGGTGACTCTCAGGAGAGGCTGGAGAAGACCTTCCTGGGAATCCCAGGTGCAGTGGGTCCAGAGAGTATGAGCTGGGATCAACAGAGACCAATTTAATTGAACGAGAACTTCTTGCTAAAAAAATCTGAAGATGCATTGAGAGATGTGGTGCCTCATTTGGTGTGAGGGCATTCCATGAATTTCACCATTCCCTGAAGACTCTTAGGCTCCACAGTTTATTTGCTTTATAAGAGTTTTGGAGAAAGCAATGTTTGATCGGTTGCCAGGAGTAATTTTACCAAGAGTTCTTGGTGCTCTCTCCTCAACAGGGCACTGCTTTTTGTGTGTGCAAATAAATGCACTCACAGCTGTATCCTGCAGAGTCCCTTTGGATCAGTGATATTTCAAAGCTCTGTGCAAGTTTGAGCTGCAGCTTTTGAACCAAGAACAATGTGGCATGGTGGGACACAAAGGGTTTCTCACTGGTCCCAGTTGGTGCAGGTGGACTTGGAGTGACGTAGAATAGTCTGAGCCTTTGGTCATTTTTTGATGATGCCTCAAGGGATGCTGGTGGAAATAGAGAAGTCTCTAAGGTGAGGGAGACTAGAGGGTCAGGATGGACAGGAGTTCCTGGTAGTGATGGGGCATTTGCAGAGCAGGTGTTTGGGAGGATTTCAGGGGAGCAGGAATGTGCTGGGAGGTGCTGAGGGGTGCAGAGGTGATGCTGGCTTGAGACCAAGGTGGGACTTGCTGGGGAAGGACTCTGGAAGGGATGTACAGCCTTATCCTGAGCTCTCCTGGGTCACTGCAAGGGTCAGCCCTTCCTGGGGCGTGCACAGGGTTGACTTTGTAGGGTCTGTATTGACAGGGATGGTTGTTATGGATTACGTTCTTTTCACATACATTTTCACATTTCACGAGCACCTCCAGGTATAACAAATCCCCTTCTGCTTCATGAGCATGGGCCCTACCTAAATCAAATCCTTCCAGCCAGTTCTGTGGAAGGACAAACAGGCTGCAGTGGTGCCACAATGCATTAAACCTGCATGCAATACTCTCTGGTGGTGTTTGCTAAGTTCAGCTGCCTAAAAATCACTTCTCTCCCAAGTTGTTTTGGGCATCAAATTGCACTGAGTCATTTCAGCGTTTTTTTTTCTTTCCAGCCCTCAGCTGCTGGCTGTCTTTATGGCAAAACACATAAAGAGTAACAAAAATCACAGTTCCTCATTTGCATGAGAGGTGACTAAGCCTGATAGATGAGAGTCCCCAGACTGGGGCAATGTTGTGTGTAACTCCCTCCTGACTTGCCTGCTGGGGCTGTTCACACAAGGATGTGTTGAAATCAAGACTGGAACCTGTGGATCTGAGAACATCCATCCCTCCCCTCACTGTCTCAGGAGCTGCCCTGTCCTGTGGAGAGGTTCTCTGTGGTCTGCAAACCAAGACACTATCAACACCCTGCTGCACATGCTGTCAGTATGAAACAATTACTCTTTTAATTTAAATGTTTTATGATATAGGTGTTGTTTTCCCTTTGTCAGTTACCATTGGGGGGTGGGAGGTGGGAAGGGGGTGGGAGAATCTGTGCATGCAAATGTATTTAAAGTGCATTGACCAAAGGTTTTTTTGAATCTGTGAAGTTTTCTTATCTGTGAAGTCATCAGACTGCTGGGCAGTGAGGAGCCGCCGGTGCTGCGGAGTCTGTCTTGGTTACATTTCTTAATAAGCATTAAAATAATAAAATATATTTGTAAAAGAGAGTGTGAGTGCCTTTGTCCCAGGAAGATCCGGCTGGCTGGATCTTGTGTGCAAGCATTTATTAATTATGTTGTTACCTTTCTCCATTGATTGATCCTTCTGGAGAGCTCTCTCCCTGGTGCTGCTTTCACAGCAGAGATTAGCATGGCCTAAAGTGACAGACCCAAATGGACTGGGAGACTTCTCCCATCGTGGCAGTAGAGATCCCTCACAGCTGTGTGTGGAACACAAATAGAGCTGTTTTCACCCAAACCACTGCCCTGGCAGGAAGGGGGTGTTCCACAGCAGGACCTGAGCATCCATACCTGCACCATGCAACAGCTTTGCCAGCTGTGACTGGGCCATCCCACCCTGCTGGCTCTCCTTCCATGTGGCCCTGCTGGTGCACCTCAGACCATCACCCTTTCAGACTTCTGCCCAGTTCTTGCCAGCCAAATTAGTCTGGAAGTGGAGGCAGGAAATCGAGATGCTGCTGTGGTATTTCTCCTGTCAAATCTGAGCAATGCTGAAGCAGAAGTAATTTCCAGCTTTTTCCACCTGGCAGCTACTCAATGTGTGTCTAAGGAGGTTGATAGAAGTCTGTTCAGTCCAGGAGCACTTGGAGTTGGGAGATTCTGAACTGAAAGTTCACCAGATATCCATCAGCCACTGGTCATTCCCTCTCCTGGGTCACTTTGAGCTGTACTCAAGGCTTCCTCATAGCCTCAGCTTGTGGAGAGGTGCTGGCACCCTGGTGTTCTGCAGCCCTGGTGCTCTGCAGCCCGAGCTGTTCAACCAAGTGTGTAACTGAGCAGGTTTTGATTTTCCCTCCTTTCACAAACACTGAGCGTTTTGTTCTGCAGCATCAAAGGCCGGGAGCCTCAGGACAATGGGCGCCTGCAGGAGCCCAGGGAACAATGCTGTGCCTAAGAAAGGGAACTTGGAAGAACAGAGAGAGCTCCCAGCTCCACAGCACAATTGGCCTGATCAGAAATCTCTGCTCAGAGATCCACACCTTGGCTCAGTCCCCCTGGGCAATCAGACTCTGCAGGGCTTTTGCTGTAGACATGAGCTGGCTGCAGCACTGGGGAGCTGCTGACATTTCTGAGTGATGAAGTAGGATGGGACTGTGGAGGATTAGCAGGTTTTCCCTACAAATGGGAAATAATGATTTTGGCTCTAAAGAGCTTTTCACAGTATTTAAAGCAGCAGAATGTTCCTTGTCACTTTTCCCCCCAAAATGGAAGACTTTGCTGCTAAGCATAATGCACACAAGTGTCTGCATGTGTTTCAAGAAGTTTCAGGTAGTTAAAATGCTCTGAGCACCTCCTCTGAGGCCCTCACAATTTACTTTCACAGGAAAGATTCCTCCAGTCTTGCATTTGACTGTGACCATGTGAGAAAAGAGATTCTCTGTGTGTTCATTCATGGGAAGGAGACAGACTTTTGCCTGCTCTGAGTGACCCTGAGAGGGATCCACTCCTCTGATCCCACAAATGAGCACCTCAGGTGAGATGCTGCGACTCACTGCAGGTTGGAGTCTCCCTGAATAGGAAGTGGACCTGTGCTCCTCCATGACTTCCCAATCTCCTCTTCAGTGCTGTTCAGACAACAGAGAGGGGCATCTCTGGATATTGGAGATGTTTCCTCAGAAATGACCCAGTGGGTGGAGTTGTTGGAGGAGTTTTGGTTGTAAGATGCAGTAATTTCTCTGCTTCGGGACTGCAGCACTCACTGCTAAGATCCTGCAGTGTCAGGAAAGTGCTGTCTAGATCTCAGAAAATCAGGATTTCATTTCAAGAATTAGAGTCCTTGTTATACATCAGAGAAAGTAACGTAAGCCAAGTTTGGGTCTGAGAGCAGCGTGGTGATTTCTCAGCAGGTGAAAGGCAAGGAGTGGGAAAAGAACTTTGCATCTGCAAGTTCAGAGTGAGCGGTACAAAGGTGAGGTTATGTGGAGTGCAGACCCATAATGTGTGGTCCAAGACTGTTACCCTGAACTCCAAAGCAAAGACTGTGGTTTCTGGGAGTGTTCTGCAATCCAGAGAGGTGACTGCCACTTCTAAAGATCCCAGGGAAGCCTTTAAACCTGCTAGCTTGGACACTGACAGCAGTGGAGCTGCAATTGAATGGATTTAGTCAAGAATTTACCCAGAACCTGAGGCAGCTCCCATCTTTTCTCTCCTAGGTAACAGCTCATGATGACAAAGAAGAAATCTATGTGTGTGGGGTATCTTGCTGCCTCAGCTGTTGATGAGATCATGGGGATGTTTTTTGGGCTGGTATTGGTCCAAGATATTTCTTCTAACTGGGAGTTAAGCATATCTTGGGTACTTCATGTTGCTGGAGAACTTGCAGCTGCATCATTTGGGTATTTGGCATCATCTGGGCTGTGAAAGATTGTGCCTGTTCTTTGGGATTTCCATGGATGCAGGGCTCTTGGGAGTGTGGTGATTGCATCCAGGAAAAAAAAAAAACACCTCCTAATAAAGAGAATGGAGCTGGATCAGTTCTATGAAGAATGCAAAACAAGGCTGGGCCATCTCAGGGTAAGCTGCACTCACGGTGCCTCCTGAACCCATGTCCTGTTATTGTTGGTGTGGAACGTCAGGGTCTGGGCCAATGAAAATAAGGAAGGTGACTTGACAGACACAGATTTTATCTTTTCAGATTCGTCATGACCTTTCTTGTGTATAATAAATAAAGTTGACTCAGGAATTGGCAAGTGCCCTATAACACGCAGTCCTGGTGTTGGGACTCGGCAGAACGTTCTGCTTAGCAATGCACTCTGTTGGCTCCGTTTGCCAAGTTCCTATTTTGGAGGTGCTGAAGGGCTGAGCAGGGGCAGATGCTGAAGCCTCCTGTGGACAGGTGTGCAGGGCCCAGCTGGGCTGGGTGAAGGCCGTTTTCACTCCGTGCTCATACAGCTTTTATCACTGAGCTGTAGAAAAGAGTCCTGCCAAGGAGAAATGCTGCTTGCAGGGCTGTGAGTCCTGGGCCCAGGCAGGCTCCCATCCTTCCACATCACTGAATAACCTGCCAGGCAGTTAAGTCAACACTGAACAATATTGCTTCCTGTGTTAATGTCTTGAGCAGCC